GACAATCTTCCCGGAAGCATCTGGAAGGAGAAAGGGCGGTGCCTCTGAAGGGCCCTGGTCGAAGCACTGGGTCACGGTCACCATGCCAACCCAATGGGAGTAGGTCACGCATGCGATGGCTGCTGTCCATTAAGGCACTTTGCTGCGCCAAATAGAAGTTGCTCCGGGTGTGCCAGCCCATGACAGACGCTTACCAGACCGTCTATAAATATTTCTGGTTGGGAGTTCATTGTGAATCTGGCTGTGATCGTCGTCCTGACTGCGACATTAAATAATTCCTGAAGAGATGGGGGCACTCTATAAATTCCTCCTGATCAGCCAGATCACATGGACAGGAAGACTCGTCGCCGTACGAGGGTAAATAAGAGTGGTTGTGCTGGCTTGCTCGGTGACAACTTAGGCACAGAGTTGGGCCGATTCACGCACGAAGACACTGCTCGCTCAATGATGCTGTTCGGTATGTTGAATTGAGGGGAGGGTAGGTTCCAATTGGTGCTCAACTGTATACACAACCATACCCATCAATCATACATCTGCTACATTGTCTTTTTGTACCTTTGATTAGTTGGTTGACGGACTGCTAACCTCAGAGACAGAATTAATGTAGGACTGTAGAATGCTACCATAGTCAGTTTTAACTAATGCTGTTGTAAGTGAACCATTCAGGGTGCATCTAGACTATGTAGACAATCTGTGTGAATGTTGTAGACATGCCACTTGATTCGGTATAGTAGGATACTCGCCGGACACAACTATTGATAGAAAATTAGGTGCCGGTCATATACATGTTGTGGTAGGTTTCAGTAGGGGATTCTAGTGCAGAAACTATCTGCCTAACTAATGAGTGGATCAGATCCTGTTGATGATAGAGCTGACAATAGGAGACTTACACGTTCGGCAGCATTAAGGGTTTCGCACGTGTTCAGGACCTTGGACGAGGGAGAAGAAAGACGGCTTCGTGCCGAACGTAGAGCCCGTGCTCTAGCAGCAGGACTACAGGAAGCAAACATCGTAGCAAGAGAGCGGGCAACATCAGCCAGAGCAGCAGCAATGGCTAACGGTACCAGCTCTGCTGCGTCATCGTCTGCGTCCTCGTCAAGGACTAGTGGGACTCAGTTGGGAATGCCACTTAGTTCCACGAGTTCCTCGGGCACTTCCGGTTCAACAAGGTCTAGACAGTCTTCTAGTCAAATGGCGGGCTCGCAGTTCAGCCCGTTGACCCCACGTGAGAGGGAGCTCAGAGAAATCCAGCAGGTCGAGAGGCTCCACCGACAGTTAGAGGAGGATCTGAAGAAAGCAACCGATAGAGAAAAAGAGATCAAAAGTAGAGCAGCCAGACTTGATACGTTAGAGGCTGACAAGGCTGCATTGGGAATTGGACGAATCGACTTTGTCTGACACCCTGAAAGTGTTGAGGGACAACATGTTGTCACTGCATGCGCACGTAGACAGCAGGATGGACTTCATGCAAAGCACTTTGGTCCAGCTCAGACTGTTGCATCTTCTTCTTCGGGTCCAGTGGTGATAGCTACAGCACCACAACAACCTGTTCAGCAATTTGGACAGCAGCAAGGTCAATGGTACCCCAAGACCCCAATGAAACCGCCTCTTGCCTTCTCAAGCGAGAGAAAGGACGAAGAACTCAACACATGGTTGCGGACAGTCCCGATTTGGGTGAAGGCCAAAAGGACCTTGCCTGAGGACGAAGTGGTAACTGCGGCGTCTTACCTAGAAGGTAAGGCAGCCAAATGGTTAGATGGTGTAGTTGTGAAGGCTAGGTATGGGCGACGCATGGCGGATTGGGCTAAGTCTTTGACTCTAGACCAATTTATGGAAATGGTAGAAGCTCGATGGCATAATCCACAGGGGGCGCAAAGGGCTACTGATGAAATTAACAAACTGGACCAACGCAAGTTCAGGTCAGTTAGAGAGCTTACGACTACCGTCGAGAGCCTGATCCTCGTCCCAGGCATCAATTACAGTGACCAGTTCCTCCTAACTACGTTTGTAGATGCCTTCCTGAGAACATGAGGAACTTGCTAGCCAGTGAGGCACGCACCGAGTACCACACGTTTGAGACATTGTCTAGAAAAACCTTAGACTTGGAGGCCACACTAGGCAATGCTCAACCCACCTCGGGAAATGACTCGAAGAAGAAGAAGAGTCCTCAGGAGTGGAAGAAGAAGGGGGCGAAGTTGATGATGGTTGAGTCTGATGGGACTCAAACTAAGATTGATGAGCTCTCTGACCTGATGGACTACTCAGAGTATGACGGCGAGGAGGTAGTTGAGGGTAGCACCCTTGCCGTGGTAGTTAAGACTAAGGCGGCAGGCCGAGGAAAGGGCCAGCCTAGGGGTCAAGGGAAGGTCGCCTCCAATCAGACCAAGCAGGCTGAGTGGGTAAAGGCAGGTCTTGATCAAGACGTGTGGCGTGACCGCCGAATGCGTGGCGCTTGTTTCAACTGCGGAGAATACGGTCACACGCAGTGGAAGTGTCAGAACGCTAGGGTTACGCAAAAGGTTGCGCCAAAAGTAGGGGCAACTTATTCCCAGGCTTCTAGCTCGGGAAACACGTGAGGCCAGTGAAAGTACAATGATACCCTCCCTACTTCATGACAAGGCCAAGGCTAATGACCCCTTCATTACCCCGCAGACACAACTAGACCAAACTATGCTCTGTACGTTAGATGTGTCTGAAGCATTAGAGGACTTAGAGAGTGAGTGGTCAAACAAGGACCCTCGCGAGTCTTGGGTGGTCCTAAAGGGGAACATTTCGTGGTGGAAGTCGATGTAGGAGGCCGCAAATGTGGTGCCTTCATAAACATTGGCTCCACGCGGAATTACATAAGTCGCGACTGTTTGGAAAGGCTGCACCAACAGGACCGGGTACGGCACCTTAGTAGACCTGTAGCATCTACTTTGGCCAACAAGGAGCGCATGATTGTAACAGACTACATCAAGGACGTAGTCTGTACCTTCTCCTATGGAGGAGGTGAGCTTAACCATAAGATCTCGTTCTTGGTTAGCGACGACTTGCCATTCGATATGTTGTTAGGCATGTACTACCTCRAAGTTGCTGAGCCCCAGTTCGACCGGGATAAGAAGGTGCTCAAATACAAGTTGCCCGATGGCCGAACTGTTAGATTGACTAAGTTCAAGGCCAGTTGTATTGTAGATACCTATGGTTGCTTGTGCGCATCAGCATTCTATAACTATTACAAGCAAAACCAAGAGGAGGGTATGTACCTTGTTTATGTCTCTGAGAAGGGGGAGGCCGTTAAAACACCCCCCGAGATAGAACGCGTCATTGCTAAGTTCCCCGATCTCTTCAAGGAGCCCTCGGGAGTTGTTGATAGGGAAGTCGTCCACGCTATAGAAATCATTCTAGGGAGTAAGACCCCAAAGGGAAGGATCTATAGGATGACCCCTGCCGAGTTAGATGAACTTCGGAAGCAACTCAAGGAGCTGACAGAGAAGGGATGGATTCGACCTAGTACTTCCCCTTACGGATCACCTGTGCTATTCGTACCGAAGAAGGGGGGTACTTTGAGGATGTGCATTGATTATAGGGGCCTCAATGCCATCACGGTGAAAAACGCAGAGCCTCTACCTCGCATAGACGACCTATTGGATAGGGTGCAGGGATGCAAGTACTGTACAAAGATAGACTTGAAATCCGGATATCACCAGATCGCAATATGACCTTAGGACCAACACAAGACAGCTTTTCAAACTAGATATGGTCTGTATGAGTTTGTAGTGATGCCTTTCGGTCTTTGTAATGCGCCGGGTACGTTCCAGCACGCTATGAATCAGATCTTCCATGACCACTTAGATAAGTTTGTCGTGGTCTACTTAGACGACATTCTAATCTTTAGTAAGTCTGTCGAGGAGCACGCACACCATGTTGAGACAGTTCTCTCACTCCTGCGACAGCACAAGTATAAGGTCGACTTAGAGAAGTGCGAGTTTGGCCGCACTAAGATACTATACTTGGGTCATGAAGTATCCGCGGAGGGAATTAGGCCGGAAGATGCGAAGGTGGCTAGTATTCGAGACTGGCCACGACCTCAGACAGTCACTGAGGTCAGATCATTCTTAGGAATGTGCAGCTACTATAGGAACTTCGTCAAGAACTATTCTACAGTCGCCTCTCCTTTGACTGATCTAACTCGACTTGACACACCATGGGACTGGACTAATGAGTGCGAGGGTGCTTTCAAGAGATTGAAGCATGCACTCATGAATCATGAAGTTCTCATGGTTCCCGATCCGCAAAAGCCATTCATAGTAACCACTGACGCAAGCCAATACGACATTGGCGCAGTGCTGGCTCAGCAGGATGGGAAAAAGTTGAGACTGATTGAGTACATGAGTAAGAAGATGCCATCGAAGAAGTTGGCTAAGTCCACCTACGAAAGGGAACTCTATGCTCTCTACAAGGCACTTGTCCATTGGAGACACTTCCTTCTAGGAAGGTTTTTCTATCTGAGGACTGATCATCAGACCCTCAAATGGATCAAGACTCAACCAGCTCTTTCTGATGCACTCAAGCGATGGATTGAGGTCATAGACCAATATGACTTCAAGCTTGAGTACCTGAAGGGAGAGTATTACAAGGTTGCAGACGCGCTATCCTGTAGAGCAGACTACCTAGGTGCGCTAGTTTCTGAATTTGGCGTATCTAATGAAGTAACTCAATCATTGGTGGGAGCCTATCAGGAAGACCTTGACACAATGGACATCATCCGCAAACTTCAGGCAAAAGACAAGGCCACAGAAAGTGAGTTTGCGATGGTGGATGGGCTAATCTATCTTGATAAGGCCGGAGTAAAGAGATTGGTAGTTCCATCTAGTGAACAGTTGCGTAGTTTATTTTTAGGAGAATGTCATGACGCAACTGGGCACTTCGGCTACAAGAAGACGAGTGCTAACTTAGTACGGCGATTTTGGTGGCCCAGAATGTTAGATAACGAGAAGAAGTATGTTGAGACCTGTCAGGTCTGTCAGCGGGACAAGCCGCGAACTCAAGCACCGCTTGGGTAATTGAAGCCGTTACCTATTCCTGATGGTCCAGGATTGAGTGTTTCCATGGATTTCATGGACACTCTTGTGACCAGCAAGAGTGGTAAGAGGCACATCTTCGTCATCATTGACCGATTCACCAAGTACGCTAGACTAATACCAATGCCAGAGACAGCCAGGACAGAATACGTCATCAAGTTGTTCAAGGACAACTGGGTAAGGGACTTTGGTTTACCAAAGACCATCATTAGTGACCGAGACGTCCGATTTACAAGTGAGTTGTGGAAGTAGACTGCGGAACAGATGGGCAGTCAACTTCAAATGACTTCAGGGAATCATCCCGAAGCCAACGGACAAGCCGAACAGATGAATAGAGTTGTACAGCACTTGCTAAGGCATTACATCAAGCCCAGCCAGGATGACTGGGATGAGCAGTTACCTCTCATCGCCAGCCTGTACAACAATGCTATACATAGCAGTACCAGCGTTAGTCCTAACCAGCTGCACTTAGGATGGAAGCCTAGATCAGCATTAGACTTTCGCCTACCTTAAAACCGACCTGCTGCAACTCCAGGCACACTTGAATACGGTGTGCAATATGAGAAGTTGCTGCAAGAGGCTGTTGAACATATGAAGAAGGCTCAGCAAGCCGTGATTGCTTCTGAGAATCAACATCGCAGGCAGTCAACATTTCAGGTAGGGGAACGTGTCTGGGTCAAGGCTAGTGAGTTAGGACAGGAATTCGGAATATCTCGCAAACTAATGCCCCAGTACTTTGGTCCCTGGGAAGTCTTGGATGTAGTGGGAGATGAAATGGATGGTCCTAAGTACGTCATTCGTGTCCTTGGTCATCTACGCACTCACCCAGTTTTTCATGCCTCAAAGCTTGCACCTTTCGTTGAGACAGATCAATTCCCTTCGAGGAGGTCGATGCTGCCCCCAACCATGGATTGACAAGTCGACATCGACGACATTGTGGATCACAGGGATATGCCTGTTCCGAAGCCGCTGGGTCGAGGAAGACCTCCTAAACCCAAGAGGGAGTACCGGATCAGATTCAGGCATCATACGGAGCCTAAAGAAGATCGGTGGTTTACCCGGGAGGAACTGATGGAAACAGCTCCTCAGGTGGTGGCAGATTATGAACGGAAGCTAAAAGGGAAGGCACCTGTGAAGTAAGCATCTCAGCGCACTTTCGAAGCTAAGGCGGATGGAATGTGAGGATTGAGCCCTCAATTAGGGGCCTTGCCATGATGTACATGTTCTGGGCTAAGGCCCCAGCAAGCCTAGTGCCCGCCCTAAGTGAAGGCGGGCCAGCAAATCAACAAGAGCCCTCTGTGCCAACATTTCACGAAGTGGGGTCTATACAGCTGCAGCACGCCAGTTGGTTGGAGTGCACCGAGTCTCGGATTTCAGCAAATGCTGAAATGCCCAGGGCCTCTGAGTTAGTTAGGCCCTGGGCACTCGAACGTGAGGCCGACAATGCATGCTGGGTAGAGAGGCCAAAAATGCCAAAGGGAAATCGGCCCACTGTCTGAATCTGGCCGAAGGCCTTGATGAAGGAGGCGCAACTGCCTTGCCCCGGGGCCCAACTGTATCGAGCTGGCTTCAGCCTCTGGGCCCCGGTCACAGGCTGAAGGGGAGGCCGCCCACACGCTGCACTGGCATATAGGCAAGCAGGGCGAGGCAGCAGGGATCTTGGCCATTGCGGGCAATGCCGGCACGCTGCGCAAATGCGAGCTGCTGGCTGCTGCGCTGCGCTAAGAGGTAGTGCAAGGCAGGCATGCGCTAGGCGGTAGGGCGCTGGCTGTGCACTGGGCGCTTGGCGGCCATAGCCGGGCTGCAGAGGGCGCAGAGGGTTGAAGGGCAAAGGTGGTACTTCGGAGGTGAAGGGCGCTGTGTGGGTAACAAGGGAGAGTGTGGGGAAGAGGACACATACCTGGTGATGGTGGACGTCTGCATTGGTGTTGACATCATCACTCGCTGGTAGTCAAGTTGTCTGGTTCCTGTTCATTGCTGTAGTTGTAGGATAGTCTGTAGAGTAGATAGGGCGCCTGGCGCCATTCACAAGAGAGAGCTACATTTGGGTTATGCTGTTGGTGTTGCCCTGTTGGGCATGGACATTGACTCACGATTCTTCTGTATCATTCTCAATGGGATGGTTACTACATTTGGGTTATGCTGTTGGTGTTGCCCTGTTGGGCATGGACATTGACTCACGATTCTTCTGTATCATTCTCAATGGGATGGTTACTCGGTTCCATGTGCAATCTGCTTTGGCTTTGAATACTTTGACTTCAGTGTGATTTTGCGTTCTAGATTTCTGTGCTTCGTTCATACTCATGTTCCTTGCACATGCCCTCTCCTCTCCGTGAAACACGGATCCTCGGGCCCCAAAGGACCTCGCGAGGTCCTTTGGAGCCGAGGACGATTTGGCTGGGAAATCCTCGGAGCCCAAGGATTTGTCCTTGAAGTGTTTTCACATTTTCATTTCCGATTTCATCTCCGAGGACAGGTGGAACGAAGACGAAATCCTTGGAATCACGTCCCCGAGGAGTGTCTTACGACACCCCATGTCTGCTCGTTGTCCTTTTGATGGCCATCTTTGGCATACATGAAGTGTTGCTTCCAAATTGACGAAAGCGCTTTTTTTTTCAGCATGAGGAGCCAAATCTTCGCCGGTCCATGGAAGTTGGGAGAGGGGGAGGTGGATGGCCAGGAGGGTCTTGAGGAGAGATGTGGAAGGGGGAAGGTCGTTGAGCGTAGTCAGTCCCTTTCAAGCATCTGAGAAAAGAGGCACCAAGGAGCTGATGGTGTTTTTTTTTTTTTTTTTAAGAGCCAGACAGTTGTGGTAGAAAAGAATAAACTAGTTTTTGGAGAATGCATACGACTTTGAAATTACATAAAAATTTGATAAAAAGGTTCAGCCTGGCAGCATTTCCTGGCTTAATTATACTCACACTAGGGGACTTTCCTGGACGTATCTGGCCGCAATTACGGCCTGTCCTAAGTGTACCTGACTGTAATTACGTCCAGAGAGCAGACGAAGAAGTACTACTGTGAGTATGCGTCCAGGTTTAAAGAACCACTACATCCAAGACTGTTTTGGCCGCGGGCGGATTCGCACTGCGCGCCAAGCTTTGCTGAACCTCCAGCGCCGCACTTCTTTTTCGTTTTTGGCTGGTGCTGCCAGCTATTGTGGGCAGGTAACCCCGAGCCTCCGATAGTTTTGGACTAGATCGATTACGGTTTTCACGTTTACCCGGGCGATGTACTGGCAATTTAAGCGAAAGATACACTTTGGGACAAGTTGGGACAAGGCCGAAAGCACAAGACGTCGGGGCTCGCTCGACACTCCTCGGGCGCCTAAAGTCCCCGGGGAATTGTTCATTCCACCTATCCTCGGGGATGCAGTCGGAAAAAAAAAAGTGAAAACACTCCGAAGGAAATTCCTTCGGCTCCGAGGATTCCCCAGCCATTTCTTCCTTTTGCCCAAGGGACCGCACGAGGTCCCTTGGGCAAAAGGAATCCGCATTTCACGGAGAGGAGCGGGCACATGGGTAGAGAGACGTTACAACCGAGAATCTGGATCGTGGCGGCACCCTATTGGCTGAAGGCCTCAAACACATTTGATTTTTTTTTCTTTTCTTTTTTCTTGTCTGACATCGTTCGAAGGAAATGTCCTCGGGCGACGTCCCCAAGGACAGGTGGAACGATGGCAGGAATTTCCTTGAAAACCCCCAAGGAAACTTCCTTCGGCCCCGAGGACGCCCCAAGGAGTGTCGAACGAGCCCCGTCATCAGTGGCGAGAAAAAGGTGAGGCGAGGAACCTTTTTTTTTTTTTTTTTTTTAAGCGAGCACTGTGAGGAACCTAGCACAGTTGTGAAGATCCACCCAGGTGAAGAAAACAGAAGTCGCAAAACTCCAAAATCCATCACAAGGAGCGACCCGGGTTCGAACCGGGGACCTATTGATCTGCAGTCAATTGCTCTACCACTGAGCCATCGCTCCTTGTGTTGTTGAAACCCAGGAACATATAATTTAACAGGATCGCACTGCCCTCCGAGGACTCCCATCTCAGGGCGTACTCACACTATCACGTCTTTTAAACTATTTTTGCAAAATCGCAAATTGGGTCACAAGGGGCACGTATTTTGCGATATCACGCAAAAGGGCACGTATACGTCAGCGGCCTGGACAGCCACAGGGTCATGTATTTTGCGGGGACCTCTCCAATCGTATTTCTATTTCTGCTGTTTCTTTCTGGAAACAAAAACAAAAATTCGCAGTGTGCAGGGTTGTAGAATTCGATTAAAAAAAAAAAAAAAAAAAAAAAATCGATTTTGCAAAAATATGTGCGCGAGGGGGGGGTGCGAACGGCTGTTTTTTTGTGTTGCCTTGTGTGTCCGCGCAGGGATAGTATTTTCACATTTGGAGATCTGGTTGCTACAGTGTTGTTTCTGTTCTGTGGTGAAAAAGAGGTGTGGTGTGTCACCAGGACGTGACATATAATCGCAAATTGACACCCTTAAAATTTGCGAAAATACGTGGTAGTGTGAGTATGCCCTCACTCCCATTCCCCTTGCACGCCCACCTCATCTTTTTTTCCTTTTTTTGTTTTTAATGCCCATCTTGATTTTGTCCATTTTCCGTACCCGAACCATTCCTGGACCTGTGTTGTGTCACCCCCTGCATATGAGCCCTTGCGGTTTCTCTCTTTTGTTTTTTTTCTTGGCCCCAAAGTACCCAGGGTACAGGGGTCTATTCATATCAACCGTGTCCGTACACCTATGTTTGGGAGGAGAGGTGGTTGGGAGGAGAGGGCACAGGCAGACGTGGCAGCCCATCTCATGTATGTGTCATGCTCTCCAGCTCACCACTCAAGACCCTCGGCACAATGCATCCTCATCAAGAATGTATATCAGCTACCTGCCTGGCCGGATACAGTCATGAGGAGGGTGCAGTGGGTTGCAGGAGAAGAGAGTTGCTTTTCTTTTCCTCCCTTTGACAATCTGCCACCCATCCAGACTACTATCTTCCCCCGAATCGAATGTAGGGTCATTGTCGCTGTATCTAAACTGAAA